AGAATTTAAATCTGCTTAAATGTGATATAATCTCAGCATAAATTAAAAAAAATATCAGAGCAAAATATTTTTTCTTCAGATTTGCTTCCAAACAAGAAGTGGTCTTACTTACAAATAAGTGGTCTTACGTATCCCCAGAGGGAGGACCTCAAAAACACATCATTTGTGCCTCCCTCCCAGAGTCCACTGATGTCTTCCCTATACAAAACTGCTGTCTTTTCAGGAGGGTAGAGGAAGAAGAAAGGACACTAGACATTAGCTGCTGTCAAATCCAAGTAGTCAGTCTCTGGAGGGAGAGCAAAAAATCTATTTATGCTTAGATTTCTAGTGAATCTGTTACTCTTAGTATCTAAAAGGCTAAGCCACTGATGCTGAAACATCAACACCAGTGCCAATTTGAAACTAACAGAGGTGAAGGCTGGTACCAATGAAACCACTCATAATGCTCTCCTAAATAAGTTTGGAATACCAACAAGGCAGGAACTTTGGCATAAATACCAACTTTATATACTTTATACCTATTAGATATAAAAGTTTAAAGTAATGTGATATTTATATGTTCTCTGAAAGGAAGAGTTACTTCTCAGCTTTAAAATTCTCCATGCTTGGCACTGTTTATAATACAGCTTGACCAAGGACTGGGATCTTTTTTCTTTCTGCAAACACAGTAAATAAACAAGGACCCTAGCTATGATATTGTTTTCAGCAGTGCTATGACTTAGCTGCACCATTCAATGAAAAAGATATTCTGTTAACAGAGTTGGACTATTTCCCCACACAGTAGGAAATTTTGGGAAACATTCTGGTAATACATATTACTAGTATAATACAGATCATTACAGAGAAAAGAGAATGTGCTCCTGAAGTCTATTTTTGAAATTTTAACAAGTGATCAGTAATATTCCAAGGCTTGGGTAATTCACAACAATATCTAGATAGGGATAGTATCTATTCCTTCTACTTCAGATGATATCAGTCTTGGCCTTCCACACACTTTCAATAACATTTGGTCAGATCCCTGTCTATTACTTTGATGGGTGATGGAGAAAACCATATGTGCAGATCCATATAGCAATGAACTTTCTGAGCCAAATATAAGAATAGAAACATTTCTAGGAGCGAGTAACTTGCCAAGACAAACGTGTTCTGCCAACATTTTAGCACCATAGAAGGTTAGTTAGGTTATAATTAAGTCTAATTAGCATTCCCATGAATTGCAACATCTTTTCACTTGAAGGCACTCAATGCTCTACAAAGTGTGAATTTGTATTCTGTATTTTGAAAGAAGCAAGGAAATGAGAGAATTTCTCATCTCAGCTTTAAACCTGCATCATCACTGAAAAAAGAGTGATATAAAAGAGGCATATAATCATCAAAAGCAAAAGGTTTGTGCAATCCGTTTAATTACTTCCTCACTCTTGCTTTTCCCTATTCCTCTGCAGTAATTTCATTAATTTTTTCTCTTCTCTTCAGTACCACTCAGTTTTTCTTCTGCATCCCACATTCTCTTTTCTCCTCCTCATAGTTTTATAACCTCTCTGCTCCCCTTTTTCCTTTAGCTCTCTGTTTTTAAACCTCTGTATCTTCAGATCTTTCTCTCTGCTCTCCCCAAAAAGCTAGAGAATGTGGTGTTGGTAGACTTTCTTTTTTCTATTTCCATAGGCATGCTGTGATTTCTAAGAACTGTGCTGGGAAACTGCCAGAGCTTCTCTCACGGTGGGGAAAGATGAGAGAAAAACTGGTGAAGCAAGAACTTTTCTTCCTTTCCCTTAGCTCTTCTCACAGGCCAATACAAGGCAAGAGAGAAAAAAACATGAGCCATGAAATGAGGAGTGCCAAAACTTCTGCATGCCCCTCCTGGTCTCATTCTGATGAGAAAGGTCTGGGCTACCAATGTCATCCAGCTCATAGGGCAAACCCGTCAGCACTCTGAAAGCCTAGCTTGGGCCAGCAGTTTATTAGTTGGTAACAGCTTCTTTTATGTGTGGAGTTTGATATACAGCCACTGCGTGCATACAAAAACCAAAAACAAATAAAAAAAATCAAAAAGCCCCAAAACAAAAAACTAAAAAAAAACCCCTCAATTGTTAGGATGGTCCTCCAATAAAATGCCAATTTGAACTCTGGAGCCTGGAAAAGCATTGGGACTATTTGCTTGTTTGTTTTTAGATTCTGTCTTTCACTAATAACAGATTTGGAAAATTGGAAGAACTGGTCAGTTTATAGCACACTGTGCCTAGCCTGCAGAAATTTATGAAGGCCCCTAGCAGTCCCTGACCCAGGGAGTACAGAGCAGTATTTCTGTCATGGACAGCCACATGACTTGCGTTGCTCTTCCATGCTAAGTATTAGTCTGAATCCAACTCTAATTGCTGCATTGTTTGTATCAAAGGCATCAGGAAGTAAAGTATCCAATTAACAGTCCGGCCCTCCCCTGCATTCTGCATGCCTTACTCCCTCTCATAAATGCTCTCTTCATTAATTCATCTCAGCTAAAAGGATGAGGCATGTCTTTGTGTAAGTCATTTAGTGCCTCAGCAAAGAAAGAATTGCTGCTTGTGGGCTGCCTGCTGCTTCCATTTTACTTTTTTTTTTTTTTTTAATAGTACATACAAAGCTATTCCAGAAGCAGGGCCTTCTAAGTACAACATCCCCCACAAATTGAAAACCACCACTCTCTTTCATTTATTTCCTTCAATGAGAATTTTGCTACTTCTTCCTGATGTTCTGCTTAACAGAGAAGTTTACTTCTCTGGTCAGGAATTTTTCTTTATTTCATCCCACGTATCAGAAAAGATGATTCTGCACATAGAAAGAACTACCACCTCTTAAAAATATGTATCACCTACAAAATAATACAGTAGATTTACCCACGCATCTCAAAAACCTGGATGTGCAACAAAAGTCTTTCACTGAATGCTTTCCAACATTTTTTTTGAAACTTATCAAAAGGTATTTCATTAAAACAAATTTAAGGCTTTTCTCTTCAAAGCTAAAGCCTCATACAGTTGTGCTCTAATGCTGTGAAGAGTCGCTTATTAAATAAAAATGACAGTTTTAATTACAATACAGTACTTCAAGTTCCACCTGTCCTACAGGAGATTCACATGTAGTCAGAGAATTAAGATTCCACTTCACTTAACAACTCTTTTTTAATGCGAGGCTTTTTATTGCAGGTGGGGCAAAACATAAATCCACAGCACCATTTTGTTTGCTTCCAACTATTTTAAGCTCTTGCATCTCTAACATTACCTTATCCTCCCAGGTATTATTCATGCCTGCAGCACTATAAAAACGCATAGACTGAAATCCTTGACCTACTGAAATTGCCGGGATTTCTACAATGGACTTCAAGAGCGGGGATTTTAATTTCCTTTCCCCAACTAACATATTACCTCTCTGATTACTTTAAATCCAGATGCTGTTCCTCCTTCCAGTCTTGCTGGGTTGAAAAAAACTTTTGAAGTATAAAAGGATTATGCTATTTTTCAGTAATTTATAATGGTGCAAGATGGTCAAAGGATATCTGTGGCTAGAACACTGTCAACGGTTATGTCTGCTGAGCAGTGTAGCATCTTATTACTGTCCCTGTTAAGTTTATGAAATTCAAATCAGCTGTTGATGAAAGAATCCTTGATAACCTATTGCCATACGTATAGCCATTGGACTCCACATATGATATGACCGAGCTACGTGGCAGGTGTATCGTCTCAAGATAAGTTGCAACAGGTTAAGTGAAACTCTGCAGTCAAATTAGTTCAAATACAGTAGGTTTCATATTATCTCATCTAACAAGGCAAACATCCATAAAGATAATAGTAGATTCTAACCCCAAACCCACAGCTTAGTCCTTTGCTTTCCAAACCTGAAAACCATTATCTCTATATCCACCACTTACTAACTCACATACCAGAGTACAGTTTCCACAGATGGTAGTGCACCACCGTCAGTCCATCTGCAGTTCAAAACAGTGGTGAACTACTCCAGCTGTTTTCCAGATCAGAAATATTATTGTCATTTTGCTATCACTGCATGCTGAAGGTTATGTAACAAAAATGCACATGTCCCTCTGCCTGGAATGCAATTAATTTCCTCCCTCCCCACTGAAAGTTGTAAGTAACAATTCAGACAGTCTGAATACTTCAGTTTTAAGCATGGCCAGAGATGCAGCCCTGGAATTATTCCAAGTGGTAACCTCCTATTTGTAACATGACAGTGTTCTGGAGTTCTTACGGACAGGGAATATTTTGCAGCTTGGAAAAAAATAAACACTGTCTTCCTGTTTACACATGACCTCTTGCTGTTTGTTCTATACTATGAAAGCCTTATTTTAATTCTTTTTATTTTGATCATAGACTTTGCTTTATGATGGAATTTTAAGAATGCTAAGAAAGTAGGCTAACTAGATTAAGTAATAACTTCCAATCCAAAATCAGTCACTGTACTTGCTATATACTTTGGAATGCAAAAATAAGGCATTGTTGTTAACTTTAAAATAGTGGCATAATCCCATCTTAATGCACACATATCCAAATATCAGAGATTTGCATTAGATTAAATTAAGACTCCATAATTCTTAACTATTTAATGAAATTTGCTTATATAAAGAGAACAAATGAAACTCCTTTGCTTAAAAGAGTACCCTAAATACACAAAATTAATTTCCCCAGTGCAATCCTTTCTGCAATATGCCTTTGATCTTTGTAATTGCAGCTAACCCAACTATATTTATGTATCAACTATAACATCTTCAGGACAGGAGCTGCCTTTTTATAAAATGTTTGTACCACACTTAACGTCCTTCAGCTGTTACTGTGATATAAATAAAATGGAGTGAACAACTGCATAGAAGGGTGTCAACTGAGATGAAACAGTAACTTAGTACTTAATTACAGGAATTTCCTTTAATGTCTTATTATTTGGTTCAGCTTGTTCTAGATTTGGCATGGTTTACAACTTACTTCTATAGGGACCATCTGTAGTGGTTTTAGTATTCTTACCTAGTTAAATAGGCCAGAGCCAGCTCAGATCCCGACAGCTTTTTGGGCTCCTCTTTTTTAGTAGAGATCCCGGCTTCTTTCATCAGCTTTTTTTCTTTTTTCTTCCGCTCTTTTTTTAATTTTCTTTCCAGTTTCCTTCTTTCCTCTGGGGTAAGATCTTCCTCTTCATCTGTTACCTCAAATAATATTTACAGAAAATGTTTATATTCCTATAGGAACACAAACTAATATGCAGAAATGCAACTGAAGAGCACATTACATATTTCGAACTAGAAGCTTCAAGCTGTATACTATACTTCCATCAGCTTTCTGCTCTGCCCAATTCACAGAACTGTAAATACTGCAATTGCAGAAATCTGCAGAATAATGACTATACTGTTTTCAGCAATACAGTAATCTGAACACCTTCTAGCTTACATTAAATACCATACCTAAAGCTTGTTGTGCTGTTTGATCTCTCATACCAGAGGGAGAAATGTGAGCAGCAGAGGCTGTGTAGTGGTAGAGGAAGAGTATGGATTTTTTTTTTTTTTAACATACACACATTGAAGTGGGAGAAGTGGAGTTTTTATATGATCCATAGTTTCTGGGGCTGTTTGTTCTGTAACCTCAGACTGCCCTGGACTGAGAAAAGCTGCCTTCCACATAGATGCTTCATCTTTATTGCAGAAATTTCCATTATGCCAGAGAAGATGATGTGACAACAGCCATCTTCACCCAAGAGCTCTAGATCACCTTTTAGTAACCTTGGGTATGCTGCGTGTATACATACATCTCACAGAGGTTGATGTTTTTTAGTTTAGAGACTGAACAATTAGTGATCCATATTGAAAACACGAATGCACAAGCAGATCCAAAATGAAAAGTTATTTAACATTACAGATGAAGAGCATTAAATAGTTCTGCTGAGATCCCAGTGCGAGATCACTCAATATAAAAATACAAACCTGTTCCATAACAAGATGAGACTTACTTCAATGATTCCTAGAACACCATGAGTTGTTGATCCATGAGTTTTCCAGCAATGGTCCCACTAAATTGTTAAGTATCAACGGCTAGGTATCAACCAGAAGCATACAAAGCTCCAGCTGGTATAATGCTAGATGGGTGTTTAATCATCCCCCTCCCCACCAGATTTCTACATTCCAATACTTTTTATTTTCCTGTATGAACACTCTATAGTTTAAAACAAGCAATGACTGTACTTCCTCTCCCTTCCCCATTTACGCTGTACAATATCAGTCTTCCTGAGAAATTTCCCCTTTACAGAACCGCAACTACTTTGATGATTATCTGATACGGACCTTCATAAAACTGTAAGCAAAATAGCATCTGGGTATCCAAATCTCTGTGTACCTCAAGACAACAGTAGGAATTTGAACACTGTGCAACTACCTCTTATGTGCAATCTCCCAATAACAATTGAGCAATAAAAAGTATGACATTCTGAAAACAAGACTCTTGGACCTTTTTGGCCTTACTTTGGGATTTTTCCAAGTCCCAGACTGAATAGGTAGAGCTAATTCTTAGCTTATCTGATAGTTACAGACCTCACACTGTCCTGAATAAAATTTTAACACCTTTATCGTGGTTTAAGGAACTGTTGCTCCTTAGCCATTTCCATGCTTCAGGCACTGCAATATTATGGAGGCTAAAGGTATGCATACTGAAGACCATTTACATGTCACCTCCTCTTCCAAGTTAAGAATAAAAAACACAGAAACAAAAATAATAGAAGTATTAGCTTCTGTGATGAGATCTAGGGGTTTTTTTTTGCTCCTGTTTGCTGGGTTATCGTACTTCCCTACTATCATTTGTAGCCAACTTAAAATTGTAAATATTGAGACATTTCTAAGTTACGGGTTTAGACTGGAATAGGTTGTCTGGCTTCCATTTTGTATCTGGTCATATTTAGCATCTTCTCTCAAGACATAGTTTAAATATCCTGCTCGTGACTTTTAACAAGAGGAGGAGGGGCTATGTGTGATACTGTGGAAACATAACGGCATATGGAAATGTGAAATATGATTGAGATGTTGATCAAACAGTAATGACTGTTTTGCCAATGACTCCATTCATTAATCTACTTCTTCAGAAACAGTTGTACTGGATTTGTTAGGACAACTAGAGCAGGGAACAGTTTCCTACAAGGACAAGCTATGTTTAGAAGAAGGTGAGGTTGCCGCATAGAAAAAAACAGCAATCTCGGGCAGCAAAAATGGAACTGATACAGGAAGGCTCAGGAAATGTCTGCTTTATCTGTACATAAGTAGACCGTAAGCAGAACGGAGGCCCAGAAGATTCCTGTATGACAAGCACGGAAAAGGGTGATTGCATGCAAGTGCTGTTAAGATACCTAGAACTGTAATTCTTCTATTCAAAATCAGTAAAGCAAGCTTCTTTAATATTTCTTTCAAACGTGTACGTCCCTCAAACACTTAAAACTATAAGCCCAAGAAAGTGGAGTATATGGAAACAAGTAAGGAAGCTTGGAAGATTCAGTTTTAGCTCCAAAACTTATCATAGTTGTATTAGTGTCTCGCTTCTCCAGCCTGGGGGAGGATAAAGGAGTCTAAACTTCAGGAACGTTTCCAAGAGCAAGAATTACAGTCACAGAGTGGACTCCACTCAGATCCAGCTACTTTGGAAGAAGGTGTCATTAGATGCTCAGGTTGGAACACCTGCTTACTGCCCAGCAGGGAAGGGGGCCCTGCTGGGAACTCAATAGGCCTTTAACGCCCCTGCTGCTTCGAGAAGCTATTTGACACTATCAACCTGTTCAAGTGAGCCACCCTGAAGTCAAATGAGTATCTGAATCTCAGAGGAACTGAAGCATCATACTTGCAAGGTGGGGTGAAATTATCTCCACTGGAGTATCAGAACCTCTGGGAGCCCAAACTGAAGGCAAAAGCAATGCTCGTCTTCCTCCCTCTGTTCCCTCTTCACCCGTTATGGAAACCCATAACTGAAACTTGAATTGCACAAAAAGATCAACCACTTTATGAAGATATTGGTTAAAGCCACTTTATAAAAAGTACCAAATCCTTTGCGTTACATCAACCAGCGTCTGTCAAGCGCTCTGAAACGAAAACCAAGCCGTGGTGCTAAATGTCATTACTACCGCTGACATACAAACAAAGAATAGTTAAACAAGACAATACCTGACTATAATACTATTTGCCAAAAGCACCTGCTGAGGACTAAGTGTTTGTTCAGAGTCAATTCATGTATCATCTAAGTGTACTCCTGACTCATCTTTTCAACCTTCTGTTTTCAAAGGCCAAAAAGGGCAAGAAAACAGACATTAGAATACATGAGAGTAGGACAACACAGATTTGCTTTTTTGTTTATAATGCCGATTTATTTTCACAGAAAAGCCAGCCTTCACGCGCAAACACAGACACAAAAAAGCAGCCTGTGTTGCATTTGTATAGAAGTACATTTTATAACTCATGCCGCAAAGAAATAATATTCAGGGTGAAGGTAGGCATGTAATTATTTTATAGGAAACAACATTTTCTTTTGAAAAGCCACGCTGGTACTTACTAAAATAACAATCCAGCCGCACAAAACCCAGGAAAACACTGAGGGTGGTCATTTATAAAGTGTTTGTACAAGATTACCAGAGCAGCTGTCCAACAGACGACACACTACACTTAATCTTCTTTTAAAAATAATGCAATGAATTTGTTTACTTTTCTGCGAGCCAGGAAGCTTTCAAATAAAGTGACTGTGGCACATCATTAGAGCCGTCCTGATAGAGAGGCCTCTGCTGCTTCAGACTTACAGTAAAGGCGTATCGCCGAACCTTCCCTTCCCCCCCACATTCCTCACATTATCAAAAAGCTTTTTATCCCTCTCTCCGGCCGCTCCATTAAAAACAAAACAAGTTGCTGCCTCCCTATAAGTAGGTCCCAACATAAATACCAAGCCCTAACAACATTTGTTGCCAGCATAACAATTTATGCACTGTAGGCCATCTGAAACAAGAGCATTGTTCTCCCTTCGGCGCTGGAGCTTTTCCAGGGTTAAGGGAGTCGGGATTTATAGCTTAAGGTACCCTTCGGATAGTACATACCATAATTCAGCCCAACAAAAATACGATTCATTGGACTGCTGTTTGGAACTCCCCACACGTTTACCGTGAAAATGCCTGGAATTTTATAACTCAAATGACTTTTTCTAGTTACAACTATACTTCTATCCATACCTGCCAGCTTTATTAGTCTAGTGGTATGTGCCCCGGTCTGTCCTTAACTGCTTTTTAATTTGAAGGCCTCAAGGTTTATGTCCTTCAGAAATATGTGCATTTTGGGGTATACTCTCCACTGAAGCTGACAGTAAGTTTCATCAGTAAAACCCAACCCCCCCCCCAACTCTGCCCACCCCACCCCGAAAATCTGGGACTCAAAAGAAAACAAATCTAAGTCTTTCAATGTAATTTAATGCCTGGTCGTATTTATTTTAACTCGGTCTCTGTTATGATACTCTACTGATAAATCTCTCCTTTCTTAAATCGACAGCATTGTTTTTTAATCTTACGTTCCCTGCACCAATAATACGACTGTTTTTCTGACAGATGTGCCCAAAATTTGTGAGCCTTTCAGATTAAGAGTTTCAGTACAATCTTCTCTGTATTTAAACTTAAAAATAATTAGAACTGCATTGTTTCACGATCATAAATATTGCACGTTGTCCCCTCCTATATTTATAAAGTGATATCGCAACTTGTAGCGCTACTATTCAGTCTTAACTACAACATTGTAAAGTCCATATTTGAGCGTGCGATACACTTGTTTATTGATGTGATAAATTTAAAACACATGCATACAGAAAAACACAACATTTGCTTATTTGCAAAGCCTGCTGAGAGCTACCATACCACCTTGGATCGTGAGCTCATTAGATCTCAATCTAAACAAGGTCAGGCTAGGTCAGCACACTTGAATGAATGACATTCAGAGGAGAGAGCTAGGGTTTTTTTCATGATTAAGGAGGTGGGAGTCCTCCACTTGGAAACTTTCCAGAAGGCCTGAAAAGGTGCTAAGAGGGATACTGCCACTGGATGCCATATTTTGAGTAAGAGATAGACCCCCAAATTTTTAACACATATACTCATTAAAAATCCGTATCATTTTTGCAAGGGTAAGGAGATGCGAGCCCAGCCCCCCGCCCC